AGCCTTTCATAGATGAATTGATTAATTATATATATATATATATATATATATATATATATATATGTATGTATATATATAATTATATTCAGCGAAGACTCAACGGTATTGACCTTGTTTCTTTGTTGTTTTTCTACTCTCTCTCTCTCTCTCTCTATATATATATATATATATATATATGTGTGTGTGTGTTTATGTATGTATGTATGTTTATAGGCCTGTATATGCATAATTGAAGCTCCATCAATAACATGTTGATGGAGATGGAAAATATCAGATGAAAAAATAACGATGAAAAATTATAATGGGGAACAATAAAAAAAGAAATTGAATGAAGAAGAAAACGAAAGATGATAATGTGTATGGTGATAATTTGTAAGAAAAGGAAAAATCCCAGAAAACTGAAAAAGAACGAAAAAAGATGATGATGCTTTGGAAGAAAAATGAAAACCACAAGGCTGAACCAGAACGAAAGAAAAAGAAAATTGAAAAACAAAATTGAAAAAGAAAATTGAAAAAGAAAAAGAAAAGGAAGAAGAAAGTGTATGAAATGTTCATCAAATGAATCTGTTCCCAGTTAGTAGAAAATCTTTGCTTATGAAATATCTTTGTTCAAACCACATTCGTAAGAGATTTTTATGCAACAGACTTAACATGTGAGTGCTGAGGTTTCCATTTCATTCAGATTGGAAAATAGTTCGCATGTTAAAAGTTCAATTCAAGAAAACCGTGGGAACGTTATTAATTATACCAGTTGCAGCAACAAGGAGGTACTGCACAATTTAACAAAATACGTAGATGTTAATGAAATACAGAAAGAACAAAATTAAAAGCAAAGTATTTCTGTGGAGGCAGATTTTCGTGAATTTCTTTTTTTCTGTTTATTTTTTTTAATTTTTTTTTTTTAATCGGTAAAGAGGGAGAAATACTTTTCTTGGAAACTTTGTATCCTTACTGCAATCTGCAGATACGAAATACAGGGAGTGGAGAAAATGGAAATATGCTAGAAAAAGAAATTTTTTTATTATTAAATGAGGATATATCAATATAAATATGTTTGCCAGTGGTAAATTATTTCTTGAAGTATTGGTGATGATCTGAACAACGATAGAAAAAAAATGGTGAAATTTCAGCTGAGTATTTCGCAATTTTAAAATTGTATTCCAATCCCTCTCTGAATTTCTGATATAAGGAGTTATCAATACTATTATTAATTACATACGGACTGTTGTTATTATATTTATCATTGTTATCACAACGTTTCGGGTGTTATGCCCTCTGGCCTTCACCAGCTATATATCAACCCACGTCGGATGGAACAACGGTCGAAACCTTGTGTAAACAATAAAAAAAGGAGTACAATAGTCCGGATTTAAATAGTGTAAGTAGGGATTAAACCCTTCAATAACTTTACAATAACATCTTTCTCATTGGAGGTTATAGCTTTCTTGCGACTTATGGAAATTCCTGTGTAGCTGAAAATAAAAGTAAATAGCAACAGGTATAATATTATATCAATTTATATGGTGAACAATCCTCAAGTAAAAATCGTAGATCACCAAATTTGGTTCTTGTAAATATTTCACATAAAACCAAATATTTTAAGTTGAACATCCCCCGGATCATTATCACATCATAAAAAAATATATCTTAAAAATGTCACCAACATTAGCTGGTTAATATAAATTTTTATTTTGAGAAATTCTACATGTATGCGAGCGTGCCTGCATACATGTAGAGTTGTGTGTGTGTGTGTGTGTGTGTGTGTGTGTGTGTGTGTGTGTGTGTGTGTGTGTATCTTTGTATACGTTTTGGGCTCTGTGTGACTGGGCGGGATCCAGTTCATTATATGTCAGATTGTTCTAGTTCCACGTGCCATGCTTCTTCCGAATGTCTCAGTATCAGTTGTCTCCATTTAACTCAACTCTCCAAATGTAACCAAGTACTGAACTCATAACTACGAACAATGTAAATCCTGTAAATAATCAGTGATTTGAGTAAATTGGTGACCAAATAGGGCTTAGGACATATAAGAGAAAAACAAAATTAAGCGCTACAAAGGACAGGATGTCGTGAAGAGCGATGATCGCCTGTGTCCAGAGGAAAGACGCACAGTGGAGTAATGGATAGCGTCTCGGATTGAGCAATCGGCGAACAGAGTTCGAATTCCAGTCAAATCTACTTACGGGCTAATACATTTGGGAAAGGTTTGAATCCTATTCATTTATCTCCAACTATGGGTAAATAGGAGGACAGCCCGGGTTCTATAGACTTGTATGGCAACTGGTCTGCCGCAGAAAGAAATGGCAAACTACTACGTGAAAAAATCTGCCTCGTCAGACATGTATCGAAAGATAGATGATTGCCTAAGCGTGTATCACGCATGGCACAAAACTGAACATTATATTGAATAGTTCTTTCATAACAAGATAATATTTATGTATTAGTTCAAAAATATTTCTAGTATTTTTTTCATTTCTGTTGTAGATGTCAATGATTGAAATGATAAAAAAGATAAAAATTGATATCTTATCTCTATGTTTTCAATGCAGTGATTGATTTTGGTGATTATTGTCTAAGGCTCTTACTCTAGGTTCCATGCTGCTTAGAAGTAATTGTAGATCTCATCAGTTTGTAATTTGCAAGAGGTCACTTGGCTTAGTAAGAAGATTTGAAACCGTGTAACTGCGTTGAAATCACATTCGGCCATATAGGAAGTTGGAAAAGTAATGAAGAAAAGTTTGAAAAGTTTCCTTTCAAAAAATTTCCATTTGTATCCAATATTGAATAATTTTTGAAAATTTAAAAAATATAATGGGTAAATGTCCACCGCCCCCCCCACAAATAAAATAAAACCTCCGAGTGCCTCTTTCAGCATATCCCAGAGGCGGAGGCTATCTAGCCACCGTGTTAGGAAACACCACTCTACAGATTGAATAAATCTGAGATGACACATTTTTGTCTCAGAGTAAATTAGATAATATTTTGTAACAGTAGATTCCTTAACATTAACAAGTTTACGCAATAACAATTCATAATGAATATTCAGCACTGGATTATGTGCAATGACAATTTAGACAGACGTTAAATTTGTGTTGACAAGATAGTTTAAGCAAATGAACCTGTTATTTCCTATTTCGTCATTCTATCGTTTAGTATCGATGAGTACTACAGGAATAGTTTATTCCATGACTGCATAATCTTCAACTGTTCTTCAACAAACTGAGACATTAGATTATTTGTTCCCAGGTAAGGAAACCAAATAAACATTATTTTCCTAGATAAGTAAATAGAAGAAATATTTTCTGAACAAAATTTAACTTTGTAACTTAACTGACAAAAAAACAGTGTTTCAAACTGTCCTCTTTTACAATCTTTTACTTTTGCCATTACAATACACTCCCTTTGTTATTTGTATCGTTTTACACATCTGTTTTATAAATTTTCATAAAACCATGACAAAAACTTCTTCCTCTTTTATATGGTGTGTCGCTTCAGGACATAAGCGATCACGGCTCGCCACAGTTTTCCTATCCGATATAGTTCTTAATTACGTCTGTGGTATTTTTCTGCCGTCCTAGCCACCATGCTTTTCGCCAACTATTCACACAAGATCGTCAGATATGTGTTTCTTTTGTCTTCATTATGTCCTTGTGAGTGTCAAATTCTTCAAGTTTTCATTTCTTATTATGAAATTATGATGTAATTTCAACTATCTCTTATTCTGACTATAAGTGTTCTTTTTTGATTTTCCTAAGACTTCTTTGTTGTTTACGCGCCCCGTCCATAGATTTTTCATCGTCATTTTCATATAATCACATTTTCGTTACCTCCAAGCTGATTTTCATTTGTGAGGAAACTGTCCAGCGTTTCTGCTATTGAAGAAGATGATATAATTAGCAGTTCAGCAATCTTTGTTGGGTTTCTGACGAAATTTTCTTGTTTCTTAGTACTTTGCTCAACTTTTAGAAAACATATTTTCTTTTTCCATTGTGCTTTCGTATTCGGTATCACATTTTCCATCCTCTTGTAAAATACTTCACAGATATTTAAAATACTGGACTTGTTTTATTTTGACTTCAACTCATAGCTCACATACTGGGGTTTTTCTCTTGTTATGGTAAATAATAAATATCTCATTTTAGTTTGGTCACATGTTTTGTATAATCTTGTCAACAAAAAGTTATTCTTAAATATAAAATATAAGAAAATTCTTATAATCCTGTAAGAAATATTTTTACTGTACTCACATCTTTCGTTCATAAACTTGTCAAAAAATAATTGAATTAAATAAAGAGTTTAACATTTTTGTTGTCAGTTCTCCAGTAAAAGATACTAAAAAAATAAAAAAAATGTTACATTTATTATGTTTTTATTAAAATTACAAAATAACATTTTAAAATAATTACCGACGCAGCATAAAAACTTCTTTTTGATGCAATGAATTTTTCCTGTCAGTTAGTCTATTTCGCATAAGAAAGTCAGAAGAATCAGCTTGAAAGAAAAGAAAAACCACCCAAATATGAAAGAATCCTAAATTCTGTGTCGAGAACTGCACCCACCCAATTGCCATGTGATCTGAAAAGGGCATTAAATATGTATTATATGCGGTCACCCTAAAGAACTCATACGAATAGCTCACGTCTTTTTGTTTTTTAAAGTTCATTTGAAAATAATAGTGAACGGTACTAATTTCGCCCAATCAGTTAGCTTTTAAAAATCATCTCTCATGTCATATTATCTTCGGTAGACAAATTACAAATAAATTCAGTAACCTGTCGTTAGCTTACTGGCCTGTTTTTTTCCCCGGTACAACATGACGTTCCTAGACTCAAACATCTCATGTGTTTCCGACAGTAAGTTTCCTCGCTGTCACGACAAGTAAGTAAAAGAGAACCAACGACCTTTTCGCTTGTATCGGCAAAGCGTAGTCGACTTGGGTAGGGCAGGATATCATTCATGACTGTAAGTCTAAGAGCCGAGCTGTGTGTGAAGTGCGAATATTAGGGAGTGGAATGGAAGAAGTTGGAAAAATGAGGAAGAAAGGAAAATAGAGGGTTGTGAAAGGTTATAAAAGAAAAAGAAGTGAGACAATTGCGTTGAAAGAAAGAAAGAAAGAAAGAAAGAAAGAAAGAAACAAAGAAAGAAACAAAGAAAGAAAGAATGGCCTCACTAAAAAGGTAAGAAAACAGAATGAATAAATAAAATACAAAGAGAAAGAAAGAAAAATGAATGTAGAAAGAAAAGGTGTAAATAATGGAAGAATAAAGGAAGACAGATAAAATTAAAAGAGGAAAAATAAAAATGATGACGTGAACAAAAAAGAAAGAGAAAAAAAGAAGAAATAAAGAAAGAAGAAATACCGAACTAAGGGAACGAGAAGAACGTGGTTAATAATGAATGAAACACATGAGAAAGAAAAGAAAAAGGAAGAAGAAAAATAATATTAAAAAAGTAAAGAAAGAAAGAAAGAATTAAAATGAATGAAGGCTAACAAAGAAAGAGAGAAAAAAGAATGATTAAATAAAAGAAAATGAGGAAGGAATAAAAACGACTGGAGAGAGAAAGCATGTGAGTAGTAGAATAAGAGAATTAAAAGAGGAAAAAGAAAATAATGCCCAGAACAATAAATAAATATATAATGTAAGAAGAAATAAAGAAATAATGAAAGAAGTACATGAGAAAAAAAGAGGAAAGACGAAAGAAAGAAAGAAAAAAGAAACTAGTGAATAGAAAATGGTTCCTGGAATATTGTAATATATTACCATTAAACCAAGGACGAGAAATTATCCGAGAAAACAAATAACCTTAAACAAAATGAAAAAAAGAGATTAGTAAAAGAAAAAAGAAAATTTTTTTTTTTAAATATATTTATGAAAAGAAAGACATGAGATGAAGACAGATTGTCAATAATAAAGACGGAAATTCATGAAGCCACTAAATAATTGAATTTCCTGTAATTTCAACTTCTTTCAACTTCTTTGCAAAACTCTTTTAATTTTTTCAGAAGGCCTGGATTTTCATTTTCTATCAGATTTAATTTGGGGTCTGCGAAATTTTCACGCCCACATTCTGACATGACTTTTGTTGAAAATAATCCGATAGAATTCATTTAAATATTAAATTCTAAGAAAATATTTGTAATCATTAAAATGGTTTCTGGAGAATATAGTTCATTATTGCGCTCAACGGTCAAACCCAATCGTGTACTTTTTTTCTTATAAAATCATGTCTAATACATCCTGAGTAAACCTGCCGTTGATTTTTCTTATATGAATATTTTATCATTTTCTCCGTATAGCCAACATAATTTTGTTGTGTTTTAGTTAATGTGGTATCAATGTAATTTCTTCTGGATCACTATTAACTGTGATTCAGTTTCTCCTTTCAAATGCTCTCTGCACAACCATATCATGCTACCTACAACTACTTTTGTTTGTCTCTTAAATGACTTTGTCATTTGATGTATATATTTAATACAGTGAAATTCATATCACCATATTCTGGTTTACACTGTTTCTGTATATATTGTTGACGATTTTATTTTAATTTTAATCTGCTTCACCAAATACTGAAGACATTTGTTCATATTTCTTTATGAAGAAATGCTTGTGACTTCTCACGAAAATTTGTTAAAATTCATATCGCACTATGCTTCCCATAACTTTTTCTTGATTGTTTTATAAATTCAAAATAGATAATAATAATAATAAAAATCTCATGGAAATAATTTATTGATTCGACTATAATATTATAAATCTTTTCAGAATTTCTTTGTCAATATATCGTGATGTGGTAAATTAATAGCACATAATGTTTCTTTGTTTGACATGAAGGATCTAATTGCTAGAAAATAACATGGAATGAATATAACTTGTAAAATCCGTCAAAGAATATTGCGCACACAAGAAAGTAATCAACAATAGATAGTGGCATGGCTTCTGAAATGATGGAAAAAAATTGGAAGTCATTTTCTCAAAAAATATCAGCACTAACACATATATTATCTTATGAAATATCAAAAAAAAAATAGTGCACCCGTGACGTCAATTTTGACGGCAAGAAGTAATGTATTATAAGTAATATATAGTATATTGTAAGTAATTTTCATTTAATCCAAATACAATTTTGTAATTTAAAAAGAAAGAAAGAAAAAGTGGCCTAACAAAGAAAGAAAAGAAAAAAGAATGAATAAATAAAATACAAAGAGAAAGAAAGAAAAATGAATGGAAAAAGAAAAGGTGTGAATAATAGAAGAATAAAGGGAGACAGATAAAATTAAAAGAGGAAAAATAAAAATGATGACATGAACAAGAAAGAAAGGAAGGAAGAAAGTAAGAAAGAAAGTTCGTTGTAAACGTTAATTACTGAACAGTGTACACTTTATAAACACCTCACGAAATATATCCGTATTTTACACCCGTTGTGTGTATGCATGCATGCTTTTTGTGCGAACGCTTTTTTGACATACCTTGAGCGTACTTGAGAGTCAAATTTGCTGAATCAATCAAACGAATTTGTTAGTCAATCTCATAATCGAAAGCACCTCAAAGAAAAGTAAATTTACGTCAAGTTTAATTCAAACTAAAATAAAATATAAACCTCGGACAAGATTTGTCTCACATATATTTATCTCCTCACGCTATACCTATCTATTTTCTCCCTCTCTCTCTCTATTTCTTTCTTTCATTCTTTCTTTTCATGGCTACTTTCCATCATTCCTTTTGCGTTGATCATAGTTCACAGAAAGAGGGAAAGGAGGGTAGGTAGCTATTTGCGTGTGGACGTGAATGGGGTCATTACTTTTGTGCGTCTCATGTCAAAATTTTGAACACTGCTCTTCAATTGTTCCACAAACACACACACACACACATATATATATATATATATGCACACACACAAACACACACACACACACATATATATATATATATGCACACACACACACACACACACACACATATATATATATATATATTTATGAAGAAATATAGTATTAAGATGTGCTATATTTATGGGATAAAGTGCGTAATATCAGAGATAGAGCGTGTGTAAATATAAAAGTGAACATAGAAGTCAACACTTATTTGGGTTAAATTACTTTGCTTGTTTTAATTAATTTTTATTTTTTATTCTTATTTCTTATCTTATTTTTTTATTTTTTATTTTTATTTCTTATCTTATATTTTTATTTTTTATTTTTATTAGTCGGTGTTTTTATAAACGTATTAAAATTTGTTTATATCGCTTATTTAATAGTTTTGTTTTGGTTTGGAAAGATAATTAAAGCTATTTATTAAATTTTGGGGTTGATTGTTGTAGTTTATTCTAACTATTATTTTGGCGGGCGCAGGTTTTAATATTTTTTTATTACTTCATGTACTTATTTGGATTGATTATCTTTATTTGTTTTTTCTAACGGTCACTTTATCGGGATAGGTTTGTTAGTTTATTTATTTGGGACAAACTTAGATTAATTTATTTACTTGTTTTTTATTATTTATTTATTATACTGTATATTTTTATTTACACTTTTCGGTTTTCGATTTTTAAGTAACTTAGTATATATATATATATATATATATATATATATATATATATATATATATATATCGTTATATCAGTTATAGGCATTTTTCGTCCGACTTTTGGTTTGATTTTTATAGTCTAATTATTATTTTGGTCATAATGGTTTGTTAATTTGTTTTGTTCATTGATTTTATTTTTTATTTATTTATTCTATTTCGTCTATCCTAACGTGTGTGATTTGGTAATTTGTTTGGGTTAATTTATTTTGCTTGTTTTATTGTTATTTTGTTTGTTTGTTTTTTTTTAATTAATTTATTATATTTTATTTTTTTCGGTTTTTAACTAACGTCGTAAAGTTTGTTTTCTTGTTTGCATTTTGAGATGAGCTCGGATCTTTTATTTAATAATTTATTTTGGTGCGGGAAGGTAATGATAGCTATTTTTCCTCCAAGCAAAGTTTGCAAGTTTTTGATTGGTTGTTGTAGACTGATGATCTTTTCTTTATTTTCCAAGATATTTTTGGTGTGATGTGCGTTTTGTTTTTAATTTCCCAAATACACTTAGAAAGCATTGTACTGTTCTCATATTTACTATTTGTGAAAGATTTTTTATGCGCATAATTTCTTTGTTTCCAGTGTCCTTCAGTTACTCTTATGTATACTTTTTCTTCATTATCTAGTGATTTTATCGTGGCTTGGTATATTACGTTGTTTTGTAAACAATTACCGTTTAAGGGACATTCTTTCTTTATTCTGCAGTTGCACGTGGGTTTAATTTGTTTGCGTGGTTTGTTGATAATTTTCCTATTGTGCTTTTTTATTATTTGTGCCATGTTCTCGGTGCAATTGTAGTTGATTTTTACTTTGTTTTTGTTGAATATTTTGTGCAGAGTGCTTGATTCCGGAGGGGGTGTGTGTAAGAGTTTAAAGAATCTTTTTCCTACGTTTGTTTTTACGTTTTTGCTGTACGGTGGTTTGTACCATATGATATTTCTTATTTCGTGTTCTGTGGAATCCGCTTTCTTTTAGGGCTGTTTCGTAGTTATTCTTAGCTTTGTTAAATATGGATTCATTGAAGGAATTGTCGGAAGGCCTGCGGTTAATCGATTTTGGTATCTGTTTGATTACAGAAGGCGGGTGGTTTGAAGATGTGTGTATATAGAGTGGTTTATCATTGGGTTTTCTGTATGATTTCTCTGTGCCTTTTCTTAGGTTGAAGGTAGCATCTCGTAAATCTACTTCGTTAAGGTTAGTTTTTATATCTATGTCGAATCCATTTTTGTAAATCTGTGTTATTACTTATTACTGCTTTTCTAGTTTTGCCTGTGTTTTGTTTGTAACAGTTTCTTAACATTATGAGACCGTCGTTCCTGTAGAGTCCTGTGTCATTTCTATCTATTATTTTGGTTAGTTCGCGTAGTAAGCAAATACCTATGATTTCGCAACGTTGAACGGAAAAATTTTAATCGGCATTTTTTTTCTTTATTTTTTGTGATTAGAAAGTTAATGTTTTCATCCCATCATCTATGATAATGCTTTAAAATTATTTTTCAAAAGTTACGTAAATTGGCACCTAAATACGTTGTTAGAATAAAGTTTTGATCGATTAAATAAATTGTCCAGGTACCTACAATGATTCGCAAAAATGAGCGTACATGTTGATAAAATACCCCAAAACGTAATAAAACTAAAGTTTTCTCGTCTACATTTGTTATTATTAAGAGGAAAGACCAGAAGATTTTTTGGCGGAAGGATTATTCTATTTAATACTTTTTAGAATTTTTGATATTTTGGTAAAAAAAAAACAAATGTTTCTTTTCTGTCGTCACATGATAATATAAATTAACCCGTGTAATGTGCGCGTCTTTTTCTGCAGTTAAAAACACAGCGATCTGGAAATTCTTGAAAAACTCTGATACTCGTCTGATTTTAATGAAACGTAAAAGACGTATTCACAAATGAATGAAATGATTTTTGAAATAGTTTCTTTTTTATTTAGAAAATTTAGGTGAAAATACCATTTTTTTAAAATATATATTGCCATCCACATAATTAATTTTAGGATATTTTGAGAAATTCTTTTTTTTGTAAAGCTTAAACTTTATATTAATTATAAGGACAAGTCCTAGGATAATCTAAATCCTCACATTTTCCTTGTCAAACAAGACCCGCAGTTACAGGAAATCTACTGTAAATCATAAAATAAAAATGCAATAAAGCTAAGGCTTTATTTAATGTGA